GTGGTTCCTTCGCTTGATTTCCTGCTCTTAACCCCCCTCCTGCTAATCTCTCTCGTGCTCCATCCTTCCCCCTCCCCTGTGTCTCTTCATTCGTCCCTCCTTTTCGTGTTTAGGGGCTGTGCCATTTACACGTGACAGGTATGGAAGACATGCCCCTACGAGTGGGATGAAGAGAACGGGTATCGAGGGTTCGGGATTAACAGTCTGAGTGGCACGGGGGCAGGTTACAGCGAATAATCTTACCATTTTTCATTGGTATCAGTCGTATATTTCTTATTGTTGTTATATGATGATGATGACAAGCATGAGGATGATCCTTATGATGACGATGGTGACGATCTTAATTTAATGATTATGCTGATGCTGACGCTTATTATGAAGAGGATGATGATGCTGATGAGGATGGTGATATGGGTGCGGATTCGGACATCTGATGATGACTATTGTGTTGATGATGACGGTGATGACGATACTTGTGATGCTGATGCTAATGAGGCCGATGATGATGTGGATGCTGATGCTGACGATGATGATGATGATGATGATGTCAATATAGTTGATGATGATGATGATGATTTCGATAATGTTCCTCATGATGAGGATGCTGATGATACTGCGAATGTGGATGGTCGTAATGATGACTAGGATGATGACACGGATGTTCATGATGATACTGACAATTATGCTGTTGTTCCTGATGGCTACGATTGGATGATGCGGGTGATGATGAGTATGATGCTGACGATGCTGATGATGACGACGGAGATCTTGATGATATTGCTGCTGATGATGACGATGCTGTTGGTAATGCTTCTGCTGTTGATGATGTTGATTCTTACGATGCTGATGCTGATGCTGATGCTGATGCTGAGGTTGATGATCATGATAACGATGCTGATGATGCCGATCATGATGCAGATGCTGATGCTGATGATGATGATCATGCTGACGACGATGCTGATTATGATAATGATGCTTATGATGATGATGCTGTTGCTGATGATGATGATTATTCTTAGTATCACATAACTGATGGTGATGATGGTGAAGCTGCTGATGATGATGCTTCTGATGATGATGATGATGATGCTGATGCTGATGATGATGATGACGATGATGATGATGATGCTGATGATGATGATGACGATGCGGATGACCATGGTGATCGTGACGACGATGATGACGAGGATAGATAATGATGCTGGTAATGATGATGATGCTGCTGAGGATGATGATTTTGACGAGCTGCGATTGTTTTTGGTGGCGACACTGCTGCTGATGCTGCTGTTGGTAATGATGATGAACATGATGAATATGGTGATGGTGATGTTGTGATTGTGGTTGATGACGATGCTGATGCTGCTGATGCTGCTGCTGATGATGATGGTGATGCACGATGCCTGGAGCTTTTCAGTGACTGTGGCTGTGTCGTGAAAGACCCAAAAAGCACGAGGCTTGACGCCTCTGCTCAGAGGGGAATTCGTTTCACGCCAGGGGAAAAGGATCCGCTGTCTTCATTGGTGCTGACGTGGAAAAGCGTGGCGATAGGATTCGTGTCTCATTTGTGTCGTCGGACCTTGGCTGGGCTCTGGTGTTCGGATGGGCCCCGCGAGCCACTTCCACGCTTGCGTGCACCAGGGCCGAGCGAAGGATGGGCTAGAGCGCGCCCTGGTTTTGCCTCGAAGGTCAGTGGCCTTCTGCTCGACGCGGTGGGCCAAATCTGCGGCCGACATCTCCCCCGCGCCAAACTCGGGCAACAACAGCATCATCATACTCATCATAATCATCATAAGTATCGTCATCATCACTACCACCATCGCCACCACCATCATTCTCATCATCGACATTCTCATCAGCACCAGCATCAACATCATCGTCGCCACTGTCGTGATCGTCATTATTCTCATCAGCATCAGCATCATCACCATCATCATCACCATCATCACCGCCATCATCATCATCTATCATTATACTCGTCACCATCATCACCAGCATCATCATTGTCATTCTGATCGTCATCAACCTGGTAGTCGTCATCACCACCATTACCACCACCACCGTCACCATCAGCATCATCATCATCATCACCACCACCATCGTCACCGTCACCATCAGCATCATCATGATCATCATCACCAGCAGCATCATCATCAGCGTCAGCATCACTATCAGCATTATTACTACAGTCGTCGTCGTCGTCAACATCACCACCACCATCATCCTCACCATCATCATCATTATCATCATCATCAGCATCATCATCATCATTACCATCATCATCATCATCACCATCATCATCGACACCATCATCATCACCATCATCATCAGCTTCACCATCATCACTTTCATCATCACTATCATTATCACCAGCATCACCATTGGCACCATGATCATATACATCAGCATCACCATCACCATCATCATCATCATCATTATTATTATTACTATTATTATTATTACTATTACTATCATCATCATAATCATCGCCATCGTCATCGTCATCGTCATAGTCATCGTCATCATCATCAGCGTCATCGTCAGTGTCATCATCATCATCATCATCATCATCATCATCATCATCATCATCATCATCATCATCATCTTCATCATCATCATCATCATCATCATCATCATCATCATCATCATCATCATCATCATCAGCACCATCATCTGCCTCACAGGGTTGGTGGGATTCGCACCAGTTGCTAGGATCTTGGCACTGACCTGAAAGTGACACCGTTCTCGATTTCTCTTGGCCATGGGACGTGTAGGGTTGACCCCCAGTCGCGTGTCCTTGCTGCTTGCAGCCGCGTCCCGGCGGCTTCTGGCAGCAGGTGAGCGTGTGACGGGCAGCGTACAGCTCACTCGCCTCGCCGTGCCCGTCCCCAGCCGGTCGCCGGAATCGCAGGCTCGTGGCGAGGAGGTGGAGCGCAAGGAGCCGCGTTCCATCGACAAGATGCGCGAGCCAGACGAGACCATCGTCCCTCCAGACGACAGCGAGGTGGAGGAGCGCCGCCACCTGTGGCCTCGCTCGCCCTGCGCGGCGGGCCGCGGCCGGCTGCGTGCCCTCGAGGCCTCTCTGGGCAGCCCCCCCGCCGCAGGTCCTCCTTCCTCCTCCTCCTCCTCCTCCTCCCTCCCTCCTCCCTCCTCCCTTCTCCCTCCGATCCAGAGCGAGGTGGAGGCGCCCCCCTCCACCTCCCTCCGGATGATTCGAGGGTGAGTCGCGTCGGTTTGCTTGTGCAAGAGGCGTGTCAAGCTCCTGCCGGAGCGCTCTTCAGCCACCTGTCTGCGGCAGCATGCTCGCCACGGGATGGCGGCAACAAGCTCACCGGAGGCACAGTTTTTGGGGCACTGAGCTCGCTGAAGGCAGTTATGTTTGGCGGCAACGGGGCACACATTTTTGCCTTCAGTGAGCTCATTGCCGCCTCCTCCCTGCGTGTTGTTCGCAGGTCATGTCGTTGGCCGTTTGGTCTTCGGGGGACATTTTGGGTCGCGGTTCACTGCATGAGTTTGTCCATCGCAGGTCGGTTCGCTTGGGGCTGATTCGCACAGAGGTTGAGGCCGAGTTGTGTGAAGTTCTGTGGTCTCTCCATTCTCCTCCTCAAATCATCCCAGCAAAGCATCCTAATCGCAGCAAGGGTGACCACGCGGGTCGAGAAGTAGGAGGTCGGCCAGTGGAAAATTGCATTCCTGGGGAAGATGCAGCCGGCACAGGGGTGAGAGCATGGCCATGTGTATCCTTGTATGTTTTTCAGGAGGGACTGTGGCCTAAATGTGGCCGATATTGAGGCGAAATCGCGATTCCTGAAAACATTGAAACCATGTGTGCCTTGGTGCATTTTTTACAAGGGGTCGCCGCCGTCTGGACCAGGCTTGTAGCCAGCACTGAATCGAGAGCACGATTCCTGAGCTCACCGAGCGCGCTCCACGACTCCCAAAGTGCCTGCTCGCAGACGCCCGAAAAATACATAGTTGTCTCGACGTAGTGGATCGTGCATCCCCACGCGGCGGATCCAGGCCATTTGCGAGTAGCTGCTGTGCGAGTGCAGTGGAAACCCATGCCAAGAAACAGCCTGCTTGCCTCCAGGCTGCCCTGGGTTTCTTGAGTTTCGATGGTTTTGCAATAGCAAGCGTGACGTTCCGACACCATCAAACCAATGGACGTTGGGTTTCTTGTGGAAGGTTCTTGAGGTCGAGCCCCTACTGAAGTGGAGCGCGCTTGTCTATGAGTGAATTGTGAGGCGTCTCGGGCGACACCTCCCTGGCGCGCGGAGCGCGCCAGGGGCGGCGCCAGAGGCGCCGCCAGGGGGTCCAGCGCACCTCCGAGTTTTTATATTTATGTCATTCTTCGTTCCCCTAGAAACGCTATCAGGGAAGAATACGCAATCGCCCCCCCCCCCCCCCCCCCCCTCCCCCGCCACCACCCTAGTCGACTTGACGTGAGAGTGACCTTTCGCCACGGTGACCGTTTGTGCGGGCCCACTGGGGTCCCCCGATCGCTGAACGGGAAGCGGCCGCAGGGGCTCACGCGCCCTGGTTTGGCCACCCCCGCGTCCCCTCCGTTCAGCCGCGCACCAGAGGTCACCCTTGGCCGACCCAGGGCGGGGCGGACCTGGAGGAGGAGGCCCCCGATTCGGCGCGCGGGGCGGCGGCAGAGAGCAGCGGCTCGTGCCAGAGTGCGGTCCTGACGTCTGTTGATGGGCCTGTTTTCCACCACCACCACCACCACCATAAGTTGGAGGGGGAGGGGGTCCTCCTCCTCCTCCTCCTCCAACTCATGGTGGTGGTGGTGGTGGTGGAAAACAGGCCCATCATCGGACCATCATCTGTGGGCAGCCCGCCCGTGCCCTCGCGCGCCGTGTCGTCAGAGGCCGTGCTCTCGACCCGGAGGGCAATGCACGCTCAGGGCAGAGGCGCTCGCGGTCGGACCTCCAGCGCAGTGCCGGGGTGCTCTCGTGGGGGCAGCGCAGGCAGCCTGCACGGTGCCCGCGCTCCTTGGCCCCGGAGTGCCGACGCTGGTGTCCTGTCTGGACCCGCAGGGCAGCACATACACTCGACCAGGATAGTAAGGATGCGCGGTAAGGATGCAGGGGCCTTGGCACGCCATGTTGACGTTTTCCGTGCGGAGCGCAGCAGAATGCCGAAGGATGCCGAATACCGAAGGGGCAAGGATGCAAGGGCAGCCTTGGAAAGTCGCCCAATCCTTCTTGTCATGGTTGACTGTAACATGAGCCACTCTCGGAGCGACTCTTTTTTTGTTTTTTGTTTTTTGGGGGGGTTTGGGACGGGAGTGCTGCTGCCCCTTCATGGAGGTCCCGCCAAGCTGCGGCAGGGTACGTGACCACTTTACTATTTACAAGGTTTGTGCCCCTCCTACCCCTCTGGGGGGGGGGCCCGCCGGACCGCGGCAAGGCATCGGAGTCCATCTGAACGTTATGGGCCGTCCTTGTTTGTTGCTGCTGTTGGATCCCGTTGATCCTGCAAGCCCCTTCGCATCCTTAGGTGGGGAACTCGGGTAGCTTTGGTTTTGTTTTTTTTGAGGGGGGGTGGGTGGGTGGCGCGTCGCGCCGCCCCAAAGAGGAGGAGGAGGGGGAGCAGGAGGAGGAGGATTCCCAAACTACGCTGCGCCTATCTCAGACAGAGCCCCAGTGCTCTACTAACCAAAGCACTACTGCCGACGCAATGCGCACGACTTCCAGGTAGATCGACATCCTTCGCAGCACATACAGCCACGCTTGCAATGACCTACAACCAAAAGACACATTCAATACACTATGATGTTGCATAGACCTCACAGCAGCTTTTCACACTGTAGTGAGAGAGGCAGTCTTTGGACACGAACCACAAACTGACCACGCCAAGTACTACCATAACTATGAGTTTCCACCAGCATCGGTACCACTAGCACGAGTTCTACTCAACTAGCCAGGCATGCTAGCACACGCGACTGCGACAGACGCCCTGCTGCACAAGTCATAGAGCCCTTCAGCCTCGCACTTCACATGTAAGCACTCCCAACTGACAGCACACCCGACAAAAGGCACGAGGCCAGGCAACAGCTTAGCAGACGCAATCTACAACCACTCCTTCGCGAGACCCCTCAACGACCTAGCAGACAACATGACAGGTAAGCCATACGCGATCCAACTGCCAAGACCAGCACAACCTTTATGTTCAGCATACCAGGCTACGGACACGACCCAAGACGACTTCACCAATAGCATAGCACTCGTCGACGACGCGCTCGTGACGGCACGGTGCAGCGACAACGACCTCCTGAAGCACTGCATGACGGGGATAGCCACTACTACGCACACCGTCCTAACCAGCTGCGGCTTCAAGCCCAACTGCAAGCCACGCACGCCAGCATTTACAACACCCTTAGCGGGCCAGGACACGCACCAGGCCAAGCAAAGCCTGCTCCCGATAGCGCTCGGCTCCCCTTGCGCGCCCACGTCTCGGTTGCCTCCGAGCCGCTCAGGTGCCCAGCCGGCTGGTGACGCAGCAGCACGCCCACCGCACACCGCACCGGCGAGAGAGGCGACGCGGCCGACTCCGCGAGCGCGGCCCCCCTCTCGCTCGGGCGCGCGCGCCCCGTGCCTGCCTGCAGCTCGCCTGGCTGCGTGAGGGGAGCCGGGCCCCCTGACCGAGCCAGAGCTCCACCACCGCTTGCCCCCCCCCTCCTCCCCGAGCTGCTCTTTGTCCACCTCCACCCCTCCCGCTGGCCCCCTGCTCTTCATCATACATACCGTCGGGGCGCTGAAGAAGGAACCCTTTTCGTTGGGGAGGGGCTCGGTGTTCCTCGATTGCTTCACAGTTTGCCTTGGGTTTTCCTGAGGTTTCCCATGAGGAATCGAAGTTTAACTTCTGAGAAAAAGGGACCTCGTTCCTTATTTGGGGTTCCTTAGGTCAACGCCCCGACTGTAGCAGGTGGGCGACTGTTCCTCGCGGAGAGGACTTCGATGAGGGCGTGGAGCTCAGCAAAAACCCACCCTTCCCGGGCTCCTGACCGCCTGGAAGCAAGCCTTTCGCCCGCATCCACCCGCGCGCACCCCCACCCCCCTCCCCCCGCCCCCACCACCACCCGTACCCGTCCCGACCAAATAGCCGGCCAGCCAGCAACCCTCCTCTTCCGACCCCCGTCCCACGCCCACGCCCTCACCCGCGCCCGCATCCGCTTTTCGGCGTCGCGGCCCCCCGCGCGCAGCGGCAAGGGCGGAGAGAAGTCAGAGACGCGGGCGCGGCGCCCGCAAGCGCGTCCACGCCCGCACCGCCCGCTTCACAGCCTGCCTTCTGCCTCATCTGGCCTCGCCCTACCCTGATTCCAGCAACCCTCCCAGGCGCCCCCCGTCTGATCTCGAGCTGTGTCCATCCACCAACTACACCATTGCCGCCTTCGCCACGGCACGTCACACATGCCGTGTGCGGACGCACACAGAAGAGTGTATGCAAGTGCCCCTGTTCGGTGCCTTGTGCCCTGTACCCCTCCCTGCAGTTACACCCCGTAGGTGGAGTCCAATGTCCCGTGTGTGCCGCAGCATGAAGTCAACCCGCACAGTAAGGATGGGCAGCCTTCCCAAGGGTACCCCTTGCATCCTTGCCTCCTCGGTCCATCCTTGGCGACTTTCGTTGGCCACGCCCCGCTCGAAACGCTCCCACATGGGCGCCCGAGGCCCTTGCATCCTTATCGCACGTCTTTACTATACGGGTTGACTTCAGGAGGAGAAAAGACACACAGACACAATTGATCGTCGACTCCCCCGAAAATATGCGAACATATGTGCAGTGGGGGGGAAGGCAGAAAAACCCGGAAAATATGGACAAATGTGGGGGATCCTTTGATTTGTGTGTGTGTATTTCTTTGTGTGTCCCGGGGCCCCTTCACATACGGGTTGATTGTATGTTCAGCGAGTGCACAGCACGCTGGCTGCTTCTCCTCGTGGCCAGACCGCGTGGGCCCCCGGGCGTGCCGCAGGATCGGCTGGCGCACGTGGAGAGGCCGCGGTAGCCCACGCTGGCCTGTGCACGCGGTGCAGTCGCACGCTCGCGGCGAGAGGCCTCCTGGCTGTCCTCGCCCTCCTCGGGGCCGGAAAAGAGGGGGGTGATGACTAGGGGGGGGGGGTGGATATCATGGCGTGGGCCATGATATCTCCCCAGATTTCGCGGCGCCTCTTCTTATTCTATTACGTCTCTGGCTCCCCCGCTGGGTCGCGCACATGCCGCTGGTCATGATTTGCACCCCCCCCTCTTGGACACCCCCCTCTTGGCCGCTCCCGACCTCCGGGGGCCGCCACCGGGCCTCAGGACCTATCAAGAGCAGCTCGGGATGAGAAGCCAGCCCCTGATCGGAAACTGGAACGTATACATGACCAGTGGCGGGCTGTCTCTTGAGTCCCAGGACTTTTTTTGAGCGTCGGGGACGACGGTGGGGTGGTGTGGTGTATATTTTTTTCGTTTCCCTACCTGAGAGGAGTCTGGAGCTCCGGGGCGGGGGGGAGGGGGCAAGTTGCAAGAACATCGCGACGTCGGAGACCTGGGTCCTCTCCCTGGCTTGGTGCGGCCGCTCCTCCTCCCCTCCCTCCCCGCCATCCTCCTCGCCGACCTCTTCTTTGCGTCACTATGCAGAGTGTGCGCAATCATGCTTCCCACGGGAGAGAAGGCTCTCGGCATGACGCTTCTGTCGTGCTGTGCTGTCACCGTGCGCTGTGCAGGACGATGAAGCGATGGATGAGTTCGAGAAGTATTTCTCGGGCGACCAGGTGCTGCAGCTTTGGTTTGCTCGACGGTCGTGTACCTGACATCTTTCGGCAGACTGTTGTACTTTGACGCCCACCCCAGCGAAATCATTGATTCGGATCCACCTTACCATAATGAACACGAGGGTGTCCTGGGACTGGCGTGAGGTACAGCACAGGTCTCGCACTATTCTTCTCACGAGCTCGCACGCCCCACACGGGGTTTGTTGTCGACGGCCGACACCAATGACGATCCGACGACCGAGGACGAGGAAGATGAAGACGATCGATAACGAGGACATATTGCAACGGACGACAATCCACTGACAAGCGACGACGCACGCAAAGCAACACCGACAGCGGGATGGCATGTTGCACCGCAATTCGTGCTCGCTACCAGTAGCCTTTCTCATTGCCTTTGGTTCAGTTCTTGCGTAGTCTGATCGAAGGTGTTCCGTATCTCCGATCTGATAGCAGTAGTGGGAACCCAGATGGAACAGCGACATGGTTTAGAAGGCGTGATCTCTCGACATGTATAAATTTTGAGTCGTGCCAATGTTGATTATTGGGCAGCCGGATTGTGTCTCCAGTTTGTCAGGGTGCTCGTTATCGAATTTTTCGCCCTTTCCCTTGTGTCGTCTATTTAACCACTGCCAGCCCCTCCTGTCCAGGTGCCGAAAATATTGTTAACGACCCAGGTGGCCCTGACGACGCGACAGTATCTCGATGGCAAGTCATGGCATGCACGCAGCGGCGTCCAGCATGTGCCTACGACATGTGACGCAATTTGACCAATCGTCTTTACTCAATTCTCGCACGTCATGCTTCCGTCACGCTGCTTGCACAATATGTCTCTCCCTCTCTCTGCCTTTTTTGTTTCTCTCGCTCTCTCTCTTTCTCTCTCTTTCCCTTCCCCTCTCTGTGTTTCTATGTCTGTCTACGTGCCTGTTTCCTTTCCGCATACGTGCGCACATCTCACTTGTACGAATCACACACATCTAGGTTTTGTTTGTTTGTAACCCAGTCAGTTTTTTGTAGATGTATAGTATACGTACATACACATGTATACATATATATATATACACACATATTTACCTATATATATGTGTATATTCGCCTATGTATACATTATCCCTGTCTTCCTCTCTCTCTCTCTCGCTCTCCCCTACTTCCGTAGGTATACATAATGGAGTTACGTGCCACACCTGTCAAGATGATCGTTTTCACATTTCACACTCGACTCCTCGTGCTCAGTTTTCGTATTCTTCGTATTCTCACCTCCCTTCCAGATCTTGGTCGTCTCCTCATCCGGCCCACCTCTCGTTGTCTCTCTTCCTTCCTGCCGTCAAACATCAGGGAGTCCATACTGTACCAAACAACAGTCACCCCTTGCAACAGGACGCATCAACCCATCTAGTCACAGGGTAATTAATGGTTAATTTTTTCCAGAAAAGGCGTGGGCCCAGGCTTCTCTTTCAGTTTTGTAAATTGTCCTCGTTCTGTAGGGCCGCCGAATTTCCGCTCGATAAAACACGAGGTACAGTCCAATTCGGCGTGAACAAATGCGTTTCGCGCGTGCCCGCTCGAGGAAAGACGACCCCCCACCTCGGATCCTCGATAAATAACGGGGTCCGCGGATCCCCGTTTTCTTCGATAAAAGAAGAAATGAAGTCGAATTCGGTGCGGAAAGTGCGTTTCGTGCGTGCCCGCTCGAGAAAAGTCGACCCCCCATCTCGGATCCTTGATAAATAACGGCGTCCGCGACACGGTAAAGTTCAACGCGGCGCGGAAAGCGTGGAAATGTTGAGTTTTTGCGTGCCCGCTCGAGGATGGTGCGCCCCCCGCGCCAAACAATCAAGGATGTCTCGAGCGAAACGCTTGTTTTGCAAAACTTGAGGGACCTGGGCGCCCCAGCATGCCCCAGGAGGCCCTGGGAGCGCGGACGAGAAGTAATCTACGAGGGATCGTGGCGTTGGGAGCGCGGACCACGCGTAATTTGCAATGGATCGTGGCCCTCGGAGCGCGGGCGCAGCGTAATTTACGAGGGGTCGGGGCCTTGGGAGCTCGGACGCAATGTAATTTAGAGGGATCGTAGCCCTTGGAGCGAGGGCGCAGCGTAAAATACGGGGGATCGGGGCCCTGGGGGCTCGGACGCAGCGTAAAATACGAGGGATCGTGGCCCTGGGAGCGCGGACGCCGCGTAATTTATGAGGGATCGTGGCCCTGGGACCGCGACCCCAGTGTAATTTACAAGGGATCGCGGCAGTGGGAGCGCGGACCTTGCGTAATTTGCAAAGGATCGTGGCCTTGTGAGCGCGGACGCAGCGTAAATTATTTGGGATCGTGGCCCTTGGAGTGCGGGCGCAGCGTAATTTACGAGGGGTCGGGGCCCTACGAGGGATCGGGGCCCTTGGAGCGCGGGCGCAGTGTGAATTGTTAAGGTTCGTGGCCTTAGTAATGCGGACGCAGCGTAATTTATGAGGGGTCGTGACAGCTGTAGCGGTGGCGCAGCGTGATTTTGGACTTCGTCTCGGTTGGTATTGCTTCGGTTCTTCCTGTCTCAGTTCGTCGTGTCTCGGTGTGCCGCGTTTCGGTCCGTTCTTGCTCGGTGCGTTCCGTCTTTCTTCAGATTCGCCCCCTCTCGGTTCGTCCCGTTTCGGAACTGAGTCGGAACTTGAGCTCGGCAGCACGGCACAACGCGGCGCAGGACATCGCGCATTGTTGGCACGTCTATTTCGTGGGATGGTTCGTGGGATGTTTCGTGGAGTGTTTCGTTGGGTGTTTCGTGGGGTGTTTCGTTTGGTGATTCGTGGGGTGTTTCGTGGCTGTTCGTTGGGTGTTTCGTCAAGTGTTTCCTAGCGTGCTTCGTTGAGTGTTTCTTGGGGTGTGTCGCGGGGTGCTTTGTAGGGCGTTTCGTGGGCTGTTTCGCGTTTCGTTTCGTCCAGCATTTCGCAGCACGGCACAGCGCAGCGCAGCTTCTGGCACGGTGCCATCACCATCGATCTATTCATCATTGCTACTGCCCATCGCCCAATCCAGGTGTCTCGAAACGTTTCCATGCTTCACATGTCTATATCCCTTTCCGGGTTCGTGGGTCCAGCATGTTTAGTGTATATGGTGGAACACGCACGTAACCCGAGCCAGCAGTCAACGTATACACCCGAGCGCGACTGTGCATTTTCCGCGGAAGGCGGCCAGAGGAGTTGCCTACCGCAGGAAGCAAACACAGCACGCCGTCCTGGGCGTTTTGAGCTCCTGGGCTCTGCGCGCGGCACGGGAGGGGCGGCAGGCGGCAGGAGCGGGAGCGCGGGAGCGAAGCTGGCAGTGAAGACGAGGAACAGCCTTTGACAAGAAAGCAGAAACATGCCCAAACATGAAGATACATAACGATGGGCCCAAAAACGCGGAACACCGGTAGCGTTTTCAGTTCAAAGCGTTTGTAGCGTGCAACACGGCAGATAGAGCGCCCAGGGCGTTTTCAAGAAGGGTTGAGCCGAGAAGATGTGCGCGAGGTGGTACAGGCGCCTCCCGCCCAGATCAGCCCAGGCAGCTCGAATTTGTTGAGCCCGCAGAGCGGAAGTCACAGCGGGGCCCCAGGGGGAAGCTGGCATGCGGATTTTGCTGCGATTATTGGGTGTTCGGGATGCGTTGCAATGTTTCTTTGGGGCGTATTCGTACCCCTTGGGGATTTAGGCGGTCTTGGAGGCCAGCTAAGGGCCTTTCGGGTTTCATGGGGCACGACGTGCGTGAGGGCTGCGCCGAATTGAGGCTCCAGGGAGTCGTCTCGGGGGCCATTTGAGCGCCCAATATTCAAGAAATGCGTGAGGGGTGTGCCGAATTGAGGTTCCCATCAAAATGCAAGGGCACCCCGTCCGTGTCGAAGACGCCTACGGAGACTCACCGCCGCCGCTGGCCTTTCGGATACGCCCATGTGGCCAGACGTTTGGGCAAAGTTTGGGCCATGCTATTGGACCATCTGCTCCCCCAGCCGTTGTGGAAGCCCTTCTGGGACCTTGGGGAAGGAAGAGACGGATGAGGAGAGGGAGGTCGAAGGAGGAGGATGAGGAGGAGAATGATGAGGCGGCCTCTTGGGAGCCACTTGGGGCACTCTTGGGGCCTCCTTGGAGCTTCCTGGGGGCCTCTTGGAGGCCTCTTGGGGGCCTCTGGGGGCTTCTTGGGGGCTTCTCGGGGGCCTCCTGACGTCGTCGGAAGCCGCCCCGGGGGCCTCTCTGGACCGTCTTGGGGCCCTCTTGCAGCGCGTCAGGGCCGTCTCGGAGGCCATCGTTGGCGTCTTGGAGGCCTCTGGGGCCGTTGTCCGGCCCTCCTGGGACCGTCTTGGAGGGGCCGTCATGGGGCCATCTTGGAGGCCTCTTGGGCAATCATATTGCGATCTTAGGGGTCTCTTGGGCCGTCGCGGGCCGTCGGAAAACCGCCAGAAAGCAAATGCCAAGATCCTTCAAACACCTGAAGAGAATTCATGCTTTCTGCCTCTTCGGGCCTTCTTGGAGGCCCTCTTGGAGACCTCTTGGGCCGTCTTGGAGGCCTCTTTTGGGGGCCTTTCGGGTCGTCTTGGGCCATCTTGTAGACATCTTGGGCCGTCTTGGTGGCTTCTTGGGCGGACTTGGAGGCATCGTGGACCCTCTTGGGCCGTCTTGGGTTCCATCTTGGACCATCTTGGGCGAACTTGGAGACCATCTTGGGCCGTCTTGGCCGTCTCGAAGGGGATTGGCCGTCTTGGAAGACCGAACAGAAGCAAAGGGCAAAGTCCTTCAGAATCCTAGTCGCATCACGGATTTTGGCATCTTCGGGCCCTCCTGGAGGACCTCTTGAAGGCCTCTTGGGGGCCTCTTGGAGGCCTCTTGGGGGCCTCTTGGAGGCCATCTTCGGGGTCTCTCGGGCCGTCTTGGGCCATCTTGGAGGCTTCTTGGGAAGACTTGCGTGTATCTTTGACCCTCTTGGGCCGTCTAGGAGGCGATTTTGGCGGTCTTGGAGGGAGGTGCTCAGCACGTGATTGTTGCGACCGTCTGTTGGCACTTCTGCTCAAATGTTGAGGCATGCGCAGCTCGACTGCCCTGTCTGTCGGCGGATGACGGGAAGCGTCTTCGTGGTACGAGAAGCGAGCTGGACGTTGTGGCTGAATCTGCAACATATCCACTTACCTCTTACTATTAGAGGGTGGCGGGGTGCACGCCGCTATTCGTTAGGGGATCCCCACAACAGCGATTTCGCTTCAGACATCCTCACGCCACTAAGATGACGGGAAGCGTCTTCGAGGTACGAGAAGCGAACGGGACGTATTGGCTGATTCTGCAACGTATGTAATGATCTCTTACTAATAGTTAAAAAGGTGGCGGGGTTCACAGAGCCATTCGTTAGTAGATCCCCCGACCATCGATTTCGCCTGAGACATCTTTATACAATTGAAATCTTCGCGACATCACGTTCAACAAACACGATCGTTTCGCTCGAGACATCCTCGAACAACTGACATCCGCGAAATTCATTAACCTGTAAAGAATTGCGTTTCGCCTGAGCCATCCTTGCCAAAACGAGGTGACGACGGGTGTGTATTACTACCTCTTATGTTGAACACTACGGTTGCGCTAGGGACGTCCTCAGAAAATGAGCGGCAGCACGGCGGACCAAAAAACCGATCACGGCAGAACATTTGCATTTTGTCGGGTGCATCCTCAAAATAATGGGATGTTCTCGACATCGTCTTGATATCGTTCTTGAAGAGCTTCAAGGTGAAGAAATGCGAGCCCCAAAAGGACCTCACTATGGCTCCAAGAGCACCCTGATGATTGCCGGCAATGACGATATCGCCAGGGACATCCTCAACGATCGCTCTTGCCTAGGCTTCCAGACGGCCCAAGCCAGGCTTCTGAAAATGACGAATTTGCTAGGGACATCCTCAAACAAGAGATGTGTGTGTGAGTGTGTGACATCGCATTGTCATCGTTTTTGATGGTATCGGAACGGCCCCAAACGAGCCCCAAACGAGCCCAACATTTCCCCAAGAGCGCCATCGAGATTCCTGAGCATGCGCATTTCGCTCGATGCATCCTAAACGCGTTAGTTGGTTGCAACACCGTCTTTCACACAAAACAAGCAAGCATTTCACCCGCGACGTCCACCCGAAAATGACAACCGCGAATTTAACAAACGTATGGAAATGGGGGTCTCGCCTGAGACTTCCTCGCATATTGAGATGTTGGAAGGCCTGTTTTTTCAGACCATGCGTGTTTTAACACTGAGCTTTTTGCCTGAGACATCTACAGAACATGGGCAGGACCACTGCCGCCCAGCACGCAGAAGCACGGCAGAACGCGCGAGAGCACGGCAGAGCGCACGGGAGCACGGCAGAACCCAACGAACACGGGAGCACGACAGAACCAACATGAGCACAGCAGGACACAGGAGCACGGCAGAACACACAGGAGCGTGAGGAGCATGGCAGAACTTCCCCAATCAGAGCTTGCCTCCGTAGGGGTCCTAGCGGATTAAAGGCTGAGGTGAGGTTCGCCGCCGATTCGGTGGCCGGGCCCGGGTGCCCGGGTGCCCGGGTGCCCGGGTTCGCCGCCGATTCGGTGGCCGGGCCCAGGAACCCGGGTGCCCGGGTGCCCGGGTGCCCGGGTGACGAGTACCCGGTGCCCGGGTGGGTGCCCGGGTGCCCGGGTGCCCGGTGCCCTGTAGCCCTATAACCTTATAGCCCTATATCCCTATCGCCCTATAGCCCTATAGCCCTATAGTAGCCTTATAGGCCACTAGCCCTATAGCCCCAAACAAATTATGATTGGGATTTTTCTCCGGTATCATTAAGTAATACATGAGAGCACGGCAGAACACACAGGAGCATTGCAGAACATGCAGGTGCACCCGTAGCCATCTTGGCTCAAGGCCATGGAGAACCCGACGACCGCGAGTCGTTCGCGGCGCTCTGAGCGCGAGGGTCTCCGCGCTTCGGGCCAGTGCAATTCGTTTGTGTGCTCCCTGCTTTCACCGCGCGGAGGCGCAGCCCCGCGGCCTGTGCGGCAGTGGCCATGGCGAGGTCCCCGTGCAGTGGCGGCAGCGGCAGGCGCAGCAAGTCTTTCTGGATGTGCAGCTGCGGCAAGTGGAATTGGGACTGGCGCACCTCTTGCCTGGGCTGCGGGTATGCGGCCCCGCCATGGGCGACTGGGACGCCCCCGCCCAAGGCGAGGCCCAAGGCAGACAAGGACGGCTGGGTGGATCAGCCACGTGGGCGCCGTGCCCAGAGGCAGGCCCGCGGAGCGGCCACGCGGGCAGCATCCACCAAGTCGCAGACCTCGGCCTCGGCAGCGAATGGGACGTGCAGCGGTGGAGGCGCCACGGCGATCGAGAGGCTCCAGGCGGCCGTCGAGCAGCTCGAGGCGCTGCAGGCAGAGCCCCCAGACGGAGTGGATGGGTGCTTCACCGACGTCGTGGCCGGCCAGCTGGAGGCGAAGCGTGCGGAGCTGGTCAAGGCCCAAAAGGCTGCAGCGGAGTAGAAGGCCTCGCCCCTGCCACGGGCGACGCGGCTCCACAGGGAGGCGAACGCCATCAGCAAGGGCGAGAAGCGGCTCCGGGCAGCCCGCGTGGAGCTCGAGCAGAAGCAGGAGGCGCGCGACCTTGTCGAGGCCCAGCTCCACCTGGCCCAGGAGAAGCTCGCGGAGCTCGACGAGGAGGTGGAGGAGGCGAGCCTGGCGCTCCAGGCGCTCGAGGAAGCTGTCCGCGAGGAAGCCGAGGCGATGCGCCGCCAGCGCGCAGCCGAGTGGACAGGAGCCAGCCAGGTACCAGGACTCCTCATGCAGCTGGAGAAGTTGCCAGAGGCGTGGAGTACCAGCAACTTCGAGGTGGCCTGGGCGGCTATTCGCGCCCAGATGGAGGCAGTGCGGGCGCAGTTCGAGGGGGCGCCATTGGCCTCCATGCGCACGCCGTGGGCCGAGTCCTGCCCCATGGAGGAGATCAGCGGCAACGTTGGCGGTCTCGCAGACTGCGGCGGCGTCTGGCAGCCCCAGCCAGTAGGGGGGCGAGGCCAAGCCGAGCGGTGCGGCAAGCCGCTGGGCGAGTGGCCCACGGTGGCCCATTCGTGCAAGCGGGAGCTGGCGGCAGAGGCAGCGGACCTGACCCCCCTGGCTGCTCATCCTGCTGGCAAGGCCGCTGGGGGCCGCCTCGGAGGGGCACAGCCAGGACCAGTGAGTGCATAGCGAGGCCTGTGCAGCGGTCCTGTGCCTTCATGGGAACGATGCCGAGGTCGTCGAGAGCGGCTGGGCGGGGCTCCGCGGCATGGGCGTCCTGGTCCCGCCCTGGGGCCAGGGGCGCGCTGCAGGGCCCAGCGGTGTCCGCATCCTCCTGAGCACTGGAGAGAACGTAGTTGGGGGCATCGTGCTCGGCGCTAGCGAGTGGATCGAGGCCGTGGGCAGAGCAGGGGTACCTGAACCTCCTGAGGCGATGGCCTGGTGTGCGAGTCCACAGCGGCCTACCGTGCCGCCACTCAGGGCGCGAGTGCAGAGACGTGAAGGGGCGGCTGCCAGCGGCGGGGAAGCCGCCACGGGCGTGGGCCATGCCTCGGCCGTCCGCGACGAGGTGCAGGCCCAGTGGAGCGGCAACAGGCGCTTCGAGTCGGAGAGGTACACGGTCATGGGCCTCGGCGGCACGTCCAATTCCGTGTTTTTCGGGCTGCGGCCGTGGCCAGGAGTCGAGGAGGACGCGACGCAGTGGCGAGCGCGAGGTGGAGGTGACGGCGAACGCGACAGCGAGCAGTGCGTCATTGGCTGGGCCGCGAGCAGCAGAGGGCTCCTGCCTGCCGAGGAGAACTACCCGGTGACTTCAGCGGCGGCATCGGAGGCCCTGCGGGCTGAGGAGGTCCGCGGCGGCGGCGCTCCAGCTGCGCGGGCCCGCCTGGGAGACGGCCGCTCGACGGGGGGCAGCGCGGCAGCCCTCTCGGCCACCGCCGTCGCGTTCAGCGTCCTGGGGCACGTGCTCGGCTACGCCTGCGTGGGCGAAGGAGAGGATGCCCAGGAGATCGTGGCGTGCACCAAGTGCGGCGCCTACAAGATGCTGGGCGGGCACGCAGGAGGCAGATCTCGCCTGAAGATGCAGCGCCCAGGGCCCAGCAATCTGACGAACAAGTCGAGAGACCAGCGCAGCCTGTGGGAGCGAGGGCTCCACCCTGGCGGCAGGCCGAGGACAGGCAGAGGGCGGGGGCAGAGGGCATCCCTGCCTTGCGCTCGCAAGGGCCAGTGCCAGGTCACGCCCAGGAGCGGCACCTGGAGTGGATCGGCATGGGGGCGGAGCCGACTGGCGGAGCCTCCACAGCGGCCGGCAGCTCGGGCCCAGCGGCTCCAGCGGCAGGGCGGTATGTAGTTGAGTCGGCAGCGGCCAGCCTGCCCCGGCAGCGGCCAGGGCCGAGCGCTGGGCCCCGTGGCGCAGGCGGCGCCGACGTAGGGGAGCCCGCAGCCGCGGAGCCAGCGCCCAGCGACGGTCTGGTGGGCCGTAGGGTCTGCCGCCGCCTGGCGCGCCGCGGCTCGGAGTCGTCTGGGAGTGATTGAAGGCGCCCCCGCTGTCTGCCCGCGTCTGTTGCTCCTGTGTGAGTAGGCGCGCGAGGCTCGCTTGCTTGGGACTCGGCGTCTCTCGGGAGCTTTGGTCCCGCCTGACCCTGTCCCCGTTTTCCTTTGTCGCCTTTAAGGCCCCAGCTATAACTATAATTATAACATGCAGGTGCACGGCAAAACACGCACAGAACACAAGAACATGGCAGAACGCACAGGAGCACGGCAGAACACACAGGAGCACGGCAGAACACAGGAGCAGGAGGAGCACGGCAGAGCACGGCAGAACAAGCAGGAGCGCGGTAGAACACGCAAGGGCATGGCAGAACACATAGGAGCACGACAGGAAACACAAAACACATGAGCACGGCAGCGCAAGCAGGAGCGCGGCATAACACAGGAGCACGGTAGCACACACAGGAGCACGGCAGTTCACGCAGGTGCACGGCAAAATTGACGGCAGAACGCGCATGAGCATGAGAGACAACAAAAGAGCACGGCAGAACGCGCAGTATCATGAGGAGCACGGCAGAACACACAAAACACATAGGAGCACGGCATAACAAGCAGCGACACGGCAGAATACACAGGAGCACGGCAGAACACACAGGAGCACGGCAGAACACGCAGGAGCACGGCAGAGCAGGACCATGGCAGAACAAGCAGCGGCACGGCAGAACGCACAGGAGCGCGGCAGATCACACAAAACACATAGGAGCACGGCAGAGAAAGCAGTAGCGCGGCAGACTACACATGATCACGGCAGAACACACTGGAGCACGGCAGAACACGTAGCAGCACGGCAGAGCAGGGCCATGGCAGAATACACATGAGCACGGCAGAACACACAGGAGCATGGCAGAACCTCGCAGGAGCACGGCAGTTCACACAGAACATCTATTCACGCAGCCGCACCCACAGGCACACGCACACAGGCACACGCACACGCACACGCACACGCAAACGCACACGCACACAGAGACACATACACACACGCACACACACACACACGCGCACGCACAGAGAGACACCACACGTTCACGCAGACCGCAGGAGCAAGGCGGAGCAGCACGGCATAACACAGCAGTGCCGCAGACCACCACGCACGGACACATATTCACATACTCCACGCACGCACGCGCACGGGCAAACGCACGCACGCCACGACATATGTGCGCGGCTAACCAACATAAGAGCATACGTCACATACCTAGAGGGCAAAAGCGACGCGACGCTTCCTGTTCTTGTCCTGTCAGGTTTTCGCGACATCGCGTTTAATAACACAATGTTTATTCGATGCATCTTCGAACAACTGGCATCCGCGAAATTCATTAATCTGGACAAAATTGCGTTTCGCCTGAGACATCCTAGCCAAAGCGAGGTGTTGACGGAGGTGACTTTTTATTCACCTTTTTATGTTGAAAACGACGTTTTCGCTAGGGACAAACCTCAGAAAATGAGCGGCAGCACGGCGGACCAGAAACCAGCGCACGGCAGAAAATTTGGATTTCGCTGGGGACATCTTCAGAACAATGATATGTTCTAAACATCGGCGCGACATCGTTCTTGAAGTGCTTCGAGATGAAAAAATGCGAGCCTAAAAAGGACTTCAATATGGCTCCAAGAACATCCTGATGACTGCCGAACACGACGATTTCGCTAGGGACATCCCCAACACATTAAACAATACAACAGCATCGTTTCGAATGCTGCTTTTCTAACATCGTCTTGGGACCGCTCTTGAAAAGGATTCTAAACGGCCCAAGCCAGGCTTCTAAACATGACGATTTCGCTAGGGACATCCTCAACCAAAAGATGTGAGTGACATCGCATTGGCATCGTTTTTGTTGGCGTCGGAACGGCCCTCCACGAGCCCCAAACGAGCCCCAACATGACCCCGAGAGCGCCATCGAGATTCCTGAACATGCGCATTTCGCTCGAAACATTTTTAACACACGAGTTGTTTGCAACACCGTCTTTCAACAAAAACACAATCATTTCGCCTGAGACGTCCACCCGAACATGACAACCGAGAATTTAACAAACGTATGGAAATGGGGGTACCGCCTGATGACCCTCGAAATGATGAGATGTGGAAGAAAAGGTTGATTTAAGATCATGCGTGTTAAACTTGAGCTTTTCGCCTGAGACATCTTCAGAACATGGGCAGGATCGCGGAAATCCAGCACGCAGAAGCACGGCATAACGCCCGAGAGCACGGCAGAACACACAGGAGCACGGCATAACATACGGGAGCACGGCAGAACCCAAAGAACACACGGGAGCACGGCATAACCAACAGGAGCACATCATAACACACAGGGGCACGGCAGAACATACAGGAGCGTGAGGAGCATGACAGACCACACACATAATAGAAATGAGCACGGCAGAACACACAGGAGCATTGCAGAACATGCAGGTGCATGGCAGCACACACAGTACACACAATAACACGGCAGAACACACAGGAGCACGGCATACCACACACAGAAGCACGGCATAACACAGGAGCAGGAGGACCACGGCAGAGCACGGCAGAACAAGCAGGAGCGCGGCAGAACATGCAGGAACATGGCATCACACATGAGCATGACAGAAAACACAAAACGCATATGAGCACGGCAGAACAAGCAGGAATGCGGCAGAACACACAGGAGCACGGCAGTACACACAGGAGCACGGCAGAACACTCAGGTGCACGGCAGAACAAATAGGAACATCAGTAGTCATTTTGGCTCAAGGCCATGGAGCACCCGACGACCGCGAGTCGTCCGCGGCGTTCCGAGCGCGAGGGGCTCCTCGCTTTGGGCCAGTGCACTCTGTTGTTCTGCTCCTTGCTTTCGCAGCGCGGAGGCGCGACCTGTCGGCCCGTGCGCCTGGGGCCATGGCGCGCTCCTCGCGTGGCGGCAGTAGTGGCAAGCGCAGCAGGCCGTACTGGATGTGCAGCTGCGGAGGTTGGAACTGGGACTGGCGCCTCAGCTGTGGGTATGCAGCGCCGCCCTGGGCTCTGGGGTCGGCCCCCGCCGTGGCGAAGCCCAAGGCTGACAAGGACGGATGGGTGGACCGGCCGAGGGGGCGCAAAGCCCAGCGGCAGGCCCGCAGCGCTGCCTCACGAGCGGCATCCGCCAAGTCGCAGACCTCGGCTTATGCGGCAAGTGGGGCGCCGAGCGGCGGCGGAGTTACGGCTATGGAGAGGCTGCAGGCGACGGTCGAGCAGCTGGAGGCGCTGCAGGCTGGGCCGCCCGAGGGCGTGGACGGCAGCTTCACCAGCGTCGTGGCCAGCCAGCTGGAGGCGAAGCGGGCAGAGCTGGCCAGGGCCCAGCAAGCAGCAGCGGAGCAGAAGGCCGTCACCATGCCGCGGTCGACGCTGCTGCACAATGAGGCCAACGCCATCAGCAAGGCGGAGAAGCGGCTCCGCGCAGCCCGCCAGGACCTGGAGCAGAAGCAAGTGGCGCGCGACCTCGCGGAAGCCCAGCTCCAGAAGGCCCAGGAGGAGCTCGCGGAGCTGGACGGCGCGCTGGAGGAGGCCAGCAGGGCGCTCCAGGTCCTCGAGGAAGCCGCCCGTGAGGAGGCGGAGGCGAGGCAGCGCCAGCGGGCCGCTGAGTGGGCAGGAGCCAGCCAGGCGCCAGGGCCCCCCGCGCAGCTGGACAAGCTGCCAGAAGCCTGGGCCTCCAGCAACTTCGAGGTCGCATGGGCAGCCATCCGCGCCTAGATGGAGGCGGTTCGAGCGCAGCTCGCTGGGCCCCCCCTGGCCCCCGCGCAAGCACCGCGGGCAGAGTCCTGCCCCATGGACGAGATCAGCAGCGACGACGGCAACCTCGCAGGCAGCAGCGGCCCCTGGCAGCCCCAGGCCGCAGCGGAGCGCGGCCAAGCTGAGCGGTATGGCAACGCGCTTGTCGAGTGGCCGCAGGTGGCGCAGGCTTGCAAGCGGGAGCTGGCAGCCGAGGCTGCGGACCTGGCCCCTTTGGCTGCTCGTCCTGCTGGCCACGCCGCTGGGAGCAGGTGCGGAGGAGCCCCACCAGAGCAGGCGAGTGCCTAGTGATGCCAGCGCTGCGGGGCCACGCCAGCTTGGCGGCAGCAGCGCCGAGGTGGCCCGCCTAGGCAGCAAGCGGCCCAACGCCCTCGGGGAAGCGCCCGCCCCACCGGCACCAGAGCGGACAGCGGCGGCGGCACGGGGCGCCAGAGGAGGGCTGGAGGCCTTCGGGGCCTCGCCCATAGGGGTGGCGGGACGATCCCTGGTGCGGATCGACTGGCACTTCAAGTCGGAGCAGTACTGGGTCGCGGAGCACGGCGAAGAGTTCGATCCTATGACCCTCGAGCCTCGGGAGCAGGACCTGGGGGTGGGCCTGGCCGCTCGGCAGGCCTGGGGCCCGGACCTCCACCGACGCCCGGCCCTCACCCACGCCATGCGCCAGGCCCTCGATGTAGCGCTGCAGAGGCTCACAGCTGACAGGACGCAGCGCTGGCAGCCCTCGCCCGAGGCTTGGTATGCTCGGCAGGTGGCGCGTGTCCTGGCCGATGTGGAGGCAGCCACCGCAGCGACCTGCGAGGAGGACGAGGTCGGGGCCCTCGAGTTCGGCACTAGCGAGTGGAGCGACTTCATTGGCCAAGCAGGCGTTCCTGGGCATCCCGAGGCGACGGCAGTGAAGGCGGACCTGCTGCAGTCAGCCGAGCTGCCGCTCAGGATGTGTGCTCGGGGGCTGGAGGCTGCAGCAGCCAGGCGCGCTAGTGCCGCCACTGGGGAGCGCTGTGCCTCCCTCGCCTACCGACGCGGTGGTGCGGACTCTGGTGCGTTCCGGCCGGTACCTCGAGTCGGAGCGGTGCAAGGTTGCGGACCTCGGTGAAGAGTTCGATCCCATGTTCTTCGGGCCTCGGGCGCTGAGCATGAAGGATGGTTCTGATGCTCGGCAGGCCTCCAACCGCCATGAGTGGCGGAGGCTCAGCAGCGTCCCCCGCTTGCTTCGGCCGTCGTTCGGGGGCGCCATCGGGCAGCGGCTCGGGCCAGGTGTCGAGCTGAGCGTGAGGGGGCAGCACGTGCGTGGTGCCCACATCTCCAACACGCACTGGGCGATGCGTATCTGGAGGATTCGCAAGCCAGTTGACGGCAGGCTCAACGGCAAGCTGTGCCTCGATGGCTCAGCCAAGGAGAGCGAAGGGCCCCCTCCTGCTGGCGAGCAACACCAGGTGTAGGCCGCTACGGCCGAGGAGCCCCCGTTGGCTGGAGCGGCCCTCGGCGTCGGCGCTCCCGCCAAGCGGCCGCGCCTGCAGAGCAGCCGCTCGACGGGGGCAGCACGACCGCCCTCTCGGCCACTGCTGTCGCCTTCAGCATCCTGGGGCACGCGCTCTGCTACGCTTGCGCGGGCGAAGGCGAGGGCGCCCGGGAGATCGTGGCCTGCTCCAGGTGCGGGTCCTACAAGGTGCTGGGCAGCCACGCAGGGGCCAAGCCTCGCCTGAAGGAACGGTGCCCAGGCGATAAGACGAGCAAGTCAGGCAGGAACCAGCGCAGCCTGCGGGGGCGAGGGCCCCATCCTGGATGCAGGCCACGAGCGGACAAGCAGAGAGTGAAGGGAGAGGGCATCCCCGCTCTGCGTTCGCAAGGGCCAGTGCCAGGACACGCCCATGAGCGCTACCTGAAGTGGCTCGGCATCGAAGCGGAGCTTGCAGGTGGTGCCACAGCCGCAGCCAGCAGCTCAGGCAGCAGCCCAGCTGCTCCCGCGGCGGTGCAGGCGGCGGAGGCTGCGGCTGCCAGCCTGCCCCTGCAGCAGCCAGCCTCGGCGAGAGCTGGGCTCCTCGGCGTGCACGGGACCGCCGAGGAGGGGTTCGCCGCCGCGGACAGCACGGCGATCGACGGCCAGGTGAGCCGCAGGGTCCGCCGCCGTCTGGCGCGCCGCGGCCCGCCGTCTGAGAGTGAGTGAAGAATAAGCATCGTTCTGCTCACGTGTGTTGCTCCCTGTGGCGAGTAGGCACGCGTGGCTCGCTTTGCTTTGGGACTCGGCTTCTTTCGGGAACTGTGGTCCCGTCTGGCCCTGTCCGCGTTTAGTTTGTTTTCCCCCTGCGCCTTGAAGGCCCCGCCTTTAACTTTAACTTTAACGCATAGGATCACGGCAGAACACGCAGGAACATGAGGAGCACGGTAAAACACACAGAGTACATAGGTTTAGTGCAGAACGCACAGGAGCGCGGCAGATCACACAAAACACATAGGAGCACGGCAGAACAAGCAGTGGCACGGCAGAACACACAGGAACACGGCAGAACACACAGGAAACACATAGGAGCACGGCAGAGCAGGACCATGGCATAATACATATGAGCACGGCAGAACAAGCAGCGGCACGGCAGAACACACAGACCATCTATTTACACAACCGCACACGCAGACATACGCACATAGGCACACGCACACAGGCACACGCACACGCAAACGCACACGCACACACAGACACATACACACATGTACACACACGCACACACATAGATCAACACACGTTCACGCAGACCGCAGGAGCACGGCAGAGCAGCACGGTATACCACAGTAGTGCCGCAGACCACCACGCACGGACACATATGCACATACTCCACGCACGCACTCGCGCGCGCAAGCGCACGCACGCCACGACATATCTGCGCGACAGACCAACCAAAAGAGCATACCTCACACACCTGGTGGACAAACGCGACGCTTCCCGTTCTTGTTTGGTCAAGTTCTCACTTCTTCCGTCTGTCCGCCCCTTGGCTTAACTTCGTAGCCCAGAGCCGCCTCGGGGCCCTCTCGGACCGGTTCGGGGCCGCCCTGGGAGCCTCTTGGCCCGACTTGGGGGTGGATCGTGGGAGCATCCTTGGGTTGTCCTAGGCGGTCGGACGCCCGCAACGGCGTCGACTCCGAAATCCCTCCCAAACCCAGAGGAAGTCATGCTGCTCCTCCTCCTCCTCCTCCTCCTCCTCCTCCTCCTCCTTTTTTTTCCCAGAGGCTAAATGCAATGCATTTAGCCTCTGGGGACCCTCTTCGGCCTGTCCTGGATCATCCTGGGGCTATCTTGAGGCGTCTTAGGATTGTTTTCGTGCCATTTATAGGCTTGCCGTCTATTGATCCCGGCTCCTGGGTCCTGTTGGAGCTCTCCCTTCGGTCCCTTGTGGCGCTCCTGGGGCGATATTGAGGGCCCCGAAGGCCACCCCCGGGAGCTCCAGCATCTGTGGCCCCCACCTGGCCAGGACCTTGCCGGGCTACTCTCGTCTGGGGCCCCCCCCGGGGGCCGCCACGCGCGCGTGAATTAGACATCTAATTCACCGCCTGCTACTGGAGACTTATTAGCACGCCTCTGGCCCGTTGGGCCGGCGAATTCTCCAATCAGTGGCTGTATTCCGGGGTTTTGGCTTGAGTTTCGTCTGTCTCTCCACCATCGCTTGTGCCATTCTTGCAGGCATGAGTGGCGATGAGTCTCTGCGTGCGCATCCGCGCGACATGTAGTCATCAGAATTGAAGCTGGTTTTCTCAGCGTGGTACAGGTGTTCCTTTCTTTCTAAGGTTCAATGTCTGGATTTCGTGCCCCGAGCCTTAGGCCACACGTTATCCGTAAGGGCTTCGCCCCATGCCGCTGGCCCCCTGCCTCGGATAATGGGAGATGCAAAAGCTAAATCATGAGGTCTGGGCGCCGCCGTGAAGCAGTGTCGGGACCTGTTTGTTTTTCGACCCTGACCCTACGGATCTGCGTGAGGGGTGCCACCGAATTTCAGAACTGTAGCAAATCCCTTGTGTTTTTGGACCCTGACCCTGTCGATCCTCGTGAGGGATGCCACCGGATTTCAGAAATGTTGAGAATCCCTTGGGTTTTCGGACCCTCACCCCGCCGATCTGCGTGAGAGGTGCCATCGAATTTCAGAAATGTGGCAAATCCCATGTGTTTTTAGACCCTGACCCCGCCGATCAGCGTGAGGGGTGCCACCGAATATGAGAAATGTAGCAAATCCCATATGTTTTTGGACCCTGACCCCGCCGATCTGCGTGAGGGGTGCCATCGAATTTTAGAAATGTGGCAAATCCCATGTGTTTTCGGACCCTGACCCCGCCGATCTGCGTGAGGGGTGCCACCGCATTTGAGACATGTGGCAAATCCCAAGTGTTTTTGGACCCTGACCCTGTCGATCCGCGTGAGGGATGCCATCGAATTTTAGAAATGTGGCAAATCCCATGTGTTTTCGGACCCTGACCCCGCTGATCTGCGTGAGGGGTGCCATCGAATTTCAGAAATGTGGCAAATCCCAAGTGTTTTTGGACCCTGACCCCGCCGATCTGCGTGAGGGGTGTAATTTTTTACCCACCCCAGCAATTCAGAGCACACTCTCAGGGCGTGCTAAACCTGCCAGTTTGGGCCTCCCCCCCTCGCGCGGTCCATCAACAAGGAACAGTAAGCAGCAAGAAGCAGAACTGTAACAGTGGAAACTGGAAGCTGCAACTGGTACGGGAAACTGCGAACCTTCGCCCTACAGCCTGGTGGCCCCACAAGGTGGCCGGCGGATCTACCACATCTCGACAATGATCAGCCTTCTTGAGTCATTTGTCCATCGAGTATTGGTCTCTTCGTTTCGATTGTCACCCTCATCAGCTACCCGCTTACTCTTTGTTGCCTGGCTAAGCGTTACAGCGAAGTCATGCTGTGCAGACAGTTCTTCTCCTCCGTGTCCAATTTTACACTTGTCTTGGCTCTTCATCACGCATCCTTGAACTTTCGTCATGCATCTCATGCGCTCGTAGCGCAATTCAAGTGCCCCGTTCCAAGAAGAAGCCATCCTCGAAGATGTTCGACTTGTTGAAAGAGCTTATCCATGTTATCCCGAATACGTTTTATTATCCAAGGAAGGAGTTCACATTCAAGAAAATATGTAAGGAGGCTGGTGACAGGCCGTGCTATCTTCTCTTGCTCTGCGTGCGTGGTTGCCACTACTTGCAGTGGTTTGTTAAGGGGAGAGTCCAGTTATCCAAGACGCTTCGCAATCACCGCCCACCCTTGTGTAGTTTTTGCTGGACGAGCCGAACATAGCTCGAACACGTTCGGAGTACATGCTGGACGAAGTCTACGATGGCCCCGCAAGTGGCCCAACGCTGCCCAGATACGAGTCAACATCGCCTCGAGACGGCCCAAGAGGCCTCCCAGATGGGTTGCACAATGGGCAGCAGGAGGCAGCCCGAGCGCGATCATCCCCTCCGTGTCGC